AAAAAATAAATAAATAAGTAAGACAGAGTCGCACTGCAGTTTGGGTTGGCCTCAAACTTGCATAGACCCTCCTGCCTCAGCCTCCTGAGTGCTGAGTTTACATGTGTACCCCCATGTCTCTTTGAGGGTACCTTTTTAATAAATTAAAAGCTAAGGTAATTTAAGTTTCCTAAGCAGATTGTTTGTTTTTCAGATTCGACCTCACATTACTACTTTGCGCAAGTATACATATGGGAAACATATACTGGCCAAGTTGGAGAAATACTATTTGAAAAATAGCCCAGATCTAGGGCCTATTGGAGGACCACCGAATGGAATGCTGTAAAAGAAGAGGAGAAGAAATAGGATTTAACCATGTGAAATATTTTTGTGAATTATCAAAACACAACTCAACTATGAATCTTGAGTTTTTTTAAAGCAAACTATTTATTGACTTTATTCATCCATTTGTAATTTTTTAAGGTTCTTGTGTATATTTAGGGGGTGGGGTGGTGGATTATAAATTATATTCAGCCCTTAGTGGAGACCTATCAGATTGGATTGCTGGCAAAGCACAGAATGCCTGTATATGATGTAACTGTATCAAAAAAAGCTGTCACATATTTTGTAAATTTTTACCTTGTAAAGTCACAAAAATAGTTTTTAAAGGAAAGAGTACAGTATTCTTTTAATAAACTGGCGTGCAGTCTGGTAGGTCTACAACCCCATAGCACAACAGGTTTATAGAGATGTATATAGAATTATAGTCCTTCTGTTTTTTCTTTGCCTGAAGCCTTTTATAACAGATTAACAATCAACTGCATAAATATTAATTAATGTTTTAAAAAGAAAGTTAAGTTGTATTTTGGTAATTCACAAACTATCATGCATATAAAGGGTCAGCAAATAACACAAGAATAAAATAACTTGAGGTGAAAAGAATCTAACCTTTACAGTGGATGTGGTTTTAATACAGATACTGCCCTATAATGTCTGGCAATATACAGAAGAAGTGTTGTATAGACTTACATATGTAATTGTTAAGAGTTAGAAAAATAAAATCATGGTGACAATTCCCTCCAGTTAAGTGCACTAAATGAAAAGTTTCATATTAACTTTTCAGTTTGGTTTGCAATGTGAAAGAGTGGAAATTTGTATTTTGTTTCACTTATAGTTACAAAGACATGGTGAGGAAGTGTTGGGCTTTATTTTACTTTTTCATAGTAGATGCAGAAAGTAGGAACCAGATAGAGTTGAAAAGGGGCCACTGAAAATTGAATTTGATAACTCAACATTTAAGCATGATTACATATTCAGATAGCTTTTTTTGCTTTCTATAAATATATGCATTGTGTGTGTAGTGATGTAAGTTTACACTTTGAAAGAAATCTTGTTTCAATGTTTATTATAAAAGCCTTGCTAATTTAGTAGTGACGCTTTCCTTGGTTGTACAGGTGTACATTTGTAAACCTTCATGCTGTAAATGGAATTTGTTTTATCTCTTTGGGAAACATTTGCATTCTAGTGTACATTTATGTCCTTGCCCTCTTTGACCTGGCAATATAGTGTTGTATAATGTAAATTTCTCCAAATCAAGAGTGATTTTTTAAGAAATTTTTTATCTTTATATGGTTTCAGAAGTATGAACCAACTTTCTTTTTATTATTGTGAGAAAAATTTTGTTTTATAACATAGTTGTTGTTGACTCTGTTAATATGGACATGCTAGGATTTGGGTCACTTTCAAGAAGTCAGGGTATTGTGCATAATAGAAAGTGTTGGACTGAGATATTTGGTTACCATGGAGGCCAATGCTTTTTCCATCTTATTAAATGTGATGTGACTTTTTTCTTTGTACAGAAGAGTACTGTATTTTTGAATAGCCTACCCAAGTAAGAACAAATCTGTATGATAACTTTTTTTTCTCTGAACATAAGACATTATAACAGTGACATGATGTACATTTACAAGCGGCCTTATGTACATTTCCCAACAATCTTTTTAAGGCAAAATGTGACCATATGTGTATAATTAAAATCGTTTTTAATCCTTTGCCTATGAAAATATTTTGGAAAAAACTTGCTTTGTATATTCAGTTTCTGAAAGATAAAGAAAGTGCTTTGTATTTTGTTGAAGTCAGTATTTTGTATAAACATTTATGTTGATCCACTTATGTTTAGTGATGAAAACTAACATGAACATGCTATGTCAGTTGACCTGGAAGGGATTTTTTTTTTACTAGAGAAAAAAAGCAGTCTTCTGAGCACAATATTGACTGTAAAGGTTTTATCACTAAGCTGTTCATATCATGAACCTTAATGGCATAAATTTGGGGTGCCAGGAATACTTTCCATGTTGGATACAGAGTTACTGTAATGTTTTCTAACCCAGCATTCCTTGGTCAAGCCATTAAGTCCATCAGCTAGCGGTTCGCTGCTCCTTCTCAGTCACACTGGTTCATCGGCATGTTTCTGTCACAGTAACAGTACTTCTCCCGGCCCCTCTAAAGCTGTCCTTTGCTATTTCACTTTTCCAGTCCTCAAGTGACTTGGCCCCATGCTGGACTTCCCTTTCCAGGGTCAGCCCTACATCTTTCCTGTATTGATACGGTTGTTCCTAGTTGGCCTTCATCCTTGCCCTCTCTTCACACAGGCAGTTACTTCTACAGTTTTAGAACACAATAAGTCCTAGAGAATGTTACATTGGGAAACAGCCCCCTTGAGGGTCTTGAGATTCCCACATTTCCCCATTGCTGACAACCCCAGTGTTCTCAGTACTTTAGGTATATTCTAGAAATATATCCCTTTTCTTGTAGAAATTTTAAGGTCTGCCATTTTTGGTGCCACACCACAGTTCCACCTTTTAGTATGTTGGCATGGAATTTTAGTAAAATCTGACCTTTGAGAATAAAGAAATTTAATTGGGCAGAACACTTAGGCTTCACTCTTAAGTGTCTCCTTTTGATATGGAATGTTTCTGGACCAGTTTGTCCTGGCTCTTATTGGTTCATATGAAATGTTACCTTCACTTTGTATATTATGTATAAATTAGAAAATGAAAAGATGTGTGAATAACATTGTATGAAATAAACCTGGTCTTGTGTTTTCTCTAGATAAAATACCCCTCTGTACCTCAATTATATTTGAGATTGCCAATTCAAGTTTCTTCTCACTTAAATATTTTTATTTAGTGAATGCTATTCTGGGACCACAGATCCTTCTGATCATGGCATTACCATCTTTTGATTATTCAAGATTTGTCTGAAATTATAATCACAGAATTAATTGCTTCCTAGGTAAATAAAGCATATAGCCTGCTTTCTGTTCAGTGGGGTGATAACATTTTCAAGAGTGATTTGGAAAGTAAGTCAGGCCTTCACACTTACATGTATACTCCCTCTTCCACGTGAACTGCAGGTAGTGTCGAAGGGGGTTGGGTTTGGGCTGGATCTGAAGTTCGCTATTCACAAACCTTGTGAATGTGTGTTGACAGGGTCAGTGCCTATACACTAATTCCTTTGTTTTAAGAATTGATATATAAAGCAATAACCTGGAACCCGAAGATCAATGAAATGTATCATTTCCATTGTTTTTTGTTTTGCTCAGAATGCCCTCAGCAGTGGATTGGTTGGCTGGAGTGCTGGGGGATCTCCAATTGTTTTTAAAGGGCAGATTGGTTAGATTGACTAAAAAATGCAGTATTACATAAGGGTGGAGGGGGATTTCATATATACATACCCGCAAATCTAGAGGAGGCAGTGTTCACCGACAGCTTACGTTGCTTCCCCTCCCAACTTGAGCATACACAGTGGCAGTGGGCATGAGCCTGTGGCATGGGCTGCACAGGCTGTTGGGAAAGCTCAAAAAGGTTTGACAAGGTCATGGGGCTGTTCTACCCTAGACAGGCTCCCCTGTGCTGGGAGAGGTCTGGGGCTTGGGCTTAAGTGGAGGAAACCTTGACTGAAAACCTAACAACTGCTGAGAGCTCAGGGATAAGTGGAGTTTTTAATGAGCTTTACCTACATACTCTCTTCAGTTGGTTTTATGTTCCAGGCACAAAGGTTTTTGTAATATTTATGAGGGGTGTTTTGTAGGGATCTGCAGCAAATTGGTGTTGTGATGGGAGAGTTTTCTCTAGCCATGTGCTGATGGCTACTTTGGGAGTTGGGCCACACTGTCTAGCCCAGCGAGGAAAGACACAGGTCCATTTGTTGGAGGTTGCCCGAAGGAAGCCACAATACCATTCCTCGTAATGGTGCATTAAGAAAATTCATCTGGTTGGCCCACACTGTTCGACTGGACTACATCGCGATTCTCCCCAAACGGGTACAGTACTTAGAAGTGAAGCCTACTGTTCACACCCAGCTCCTTACAAAGCACACGAAGTAGATGGAACAGTCATTCTTCACAGGTGTGCCCACCGTGTTGAGCACTTAGAGCCTATGTAGTATTTTGGAAAGGCAGCCTGAAAAGGAGAGAGTCACACAAAAGTGAACTCTCGGCAGGAGTTAAGATTTCGAGAGTTTTAATGAAGAGCACTGAATGCAATGTCGAGCTGGAAAGAGCAGGATGGAATGCATCTAAAGCAGCATGAGAGGTGGGCTCGGGAGGCTGAGCAGGGAAGTAGCAGGGGCTAGTGGATTTGTTGCGCTGCTCTGGGGTCTGGTTTATGGTAGGTGCTGAGATACAGCCTTCAAGAGCACACATGCCAGTAGAGGTGATAAAGAAGGTCCTGAGGAGCCAGAGATTAGATCGGTGGTGGTGGACCTGTGGTAAGCATGCTGCAGTGGATGTACGAGCCAAGTTGCCCAGCCACGGTTTGAGAAGTTGGCAGCATGTATGCAGCAGCAAAGCACATGAATCACAAGTGCAAACTTACCATTTAATAAAAATCTATCATTGAGAGCTCTTTTCCACAAGAGGACGAGAACCAGACAAGGACCCTAGAGACCGGGCTGTCGGCTACGGAGGACCCCAACCCCCATTTACTGATGCGACCTTGCTCCAGCAGGGCTGTAGAAGGCGTCACAGTGCAAGTCCCACCACCGGGGGGCGCTCCAGCTCCTTTCATGGCAAAAGGTATTCTACCGCTTTGAACAGGGAAGGACCCTACCACCATCCCTAAGGCTTAGGCCTGTAACAGTATCGTGTTTCAACCAAATTTTGGCAAGCCCCAGCATCAGCCCTAGGACCCAAATCCTGAATTGCAGTGCAAACCATCTCCAGTTGTCTGTCTCCTGCCCTAAGCAAGTCTAAAACTAAGCACACCTTGCCCTTGTCCTCTACTTTTCCTACACTACTTAGCCCTGAAGCCATAGGTGGGACTGCTACTCATTCAGTGTCAGTACATCCCAAATGCTGCATGGGATCTATTAATGAAAGATCTCTGGAATTCTAATTCAACTGGGCATCCTGTGGCTTTATGTGAAACCAGGACTGAAATTCTGGTTTTTCTTGGGCAGATACAGATGCACCTTTGGAGGCTTCTCTTCCCTCAAATTCAACTTGATGTTACAGGTACCTAAAAATGCTCTGGAACAAAAGCCAGTGTTAAGCACCCGCAGTTGAACCAGTCAGAGGCTGTCAGGCAAAGGTGCTTTTGGGCTTTGTCACCTACCTGCTATGCCCAAGACCGTGCTGCCAGGTCCTCTAGGCTACTCTCGAAAAACTTACACTGGGGCTGGAGATGTGTAGCCCAGTGATATAGCACTCACTTCACACAAGGGCGGCGCTGGCTTCCATTCCCAGCTCTACAAGGAAAAAAGAACAAAGAAAAAGAAACAGTAGACTAGAATAAATTTTAGAGGTTAAAATTCAATTAAAAGCATACAAAGAAAAAACAAGCAAAAAGACTCCCCTTCTGCCTCCACCCTTTCATACCATTGCTCCCTCAAGACTCAATCCTGGCTGACAGCTGGTTATGTATGTGACTTCCCAATCTTTTTCTGTGTATTTACTAGGCCATAATGAAAAGCCTAATAAATTCCACAAAGATGAAATCATACAGGACGTATTCACTGAGTAGAATGAGAAAGGGAGACCAAAAGCACGTCTTAGAAATTGAACTATGTTTGTAGAGTCCGTTTTTTGTTTGTTTGTTTGTTTTTGTTTTTTATGGTACCAGGGATTGAACATAGGACCTTGCGCTTGCCAGGCAAATGTTTATTCTACTGAGCTATCTTCCCCAGCCCAAGAGCCTGTATTTTAGAAAAACAACCATGTATATTGCTAGAAGTATTTTCAAATGCTATTCTTAATAAGTCCAAAATTAAAGAGGTAATGTAATCAGAGATAAACTATTGTGGACTCATTTTAAAATTAGTAACAGTGAAAGTCTTACACATAAAAACCTGGGAGATTCAGACCAAAAGTTGTTCACAGAAAAAAATTCAGCTAGGAATATTTGAAGATAAATGAACTTAGAAAGCAGGCCAATAACAAAAAAAAGTAGAATCAGTTGAGATAGAGATAATGAATTAGATGTACCTTAAGAAATCTGAATTTTAGGAAGAAGGAGAAGAGGCAAACAGGAGATATAAAATTGTGGTGTTTTAAAAGATGCAAAGAAATACTTTATTTTTGTTTTCCTAAAACTGGGCTACAGAGTAAGATCAAGGCCAGCGTTAACTACATGGTGAAACCCTGTCTCAAAGAGACCAAAAATTTTTTTTCTAGAAATTAAAAATTAAATGAAAAAATTTTAGGGACATAGTTTCAGGATTGACTAAAGAATTAATTTATTGGTTAGACCAGCAAGCCATAAAAGAGCTGTAGACATAGCTCAGCAGCACAGCTCCTGCCTAGCAAACACAAGGTCCTGATACAAAAACAACAACAAAAAAAAATTGTTGTAGGATAGCCATAAAGAGATTTAATAGTCAAAAGAACAAAGGTAGCCAGGTGTGGTGGTGCATGCCTGTAATCCCAGCATCCGGGAGACTGAGGCAAGAGGATCATTGCAAGTTTGAGACCAGCCTGGGTTGCAAAGTGACTCAAGGCCAGCCTGAACTGCATAGTGAGACCCTGTCTCAAAAAGCCAAAAAAGTAGAGTTATTAAAACCTATCACAAAGTTCCAGTACTGACAGCAGTGTGGTACTAGCATAAAAACACATAGACCAACAGCAG